CTTTGGTTTTCGTCGCTTGGCAGCAATGTTGTAAAACATGTCGATCACTTCGTGAGCTCGGCAACCAAGTTACCGATTTTTTTTTTTGCCTTTTTTTGTTTTTGCGGTAACCATTAGTTGTGGTCGAGTATATTATGTTGTGCGGGGTCAAGAAGCCTCACTTCGCGCAAAGGGGGATAATTGCACCACTTTGTGTTACATTGGTCAAGCGCCCTCGAGGCAGTTATACGGTGCTTTCAACTGTCTCTGGAAGTGAACGCACCTGAAATATATTGTGTCATACGCAGCTGTCATCCGTACGCAAAAAAATACGCACAAAATGCCGAACACCCTTAGCAGGGTACAGCGCATCCTTCATGCGACTCGCCGAACATCTCACGGCGCTTCGCGCTCGCTGATGTGAGAGCCTGGTCCGGTGAAAACCCGGCGTGCTCCGTCCCGGCTTTGTAGGGATGCGAGGTTCAACGGTCTAACGACTACGGCATGCACGACAATGAGTACACCCCCCCTCCTTCCCCTTTTTGTCCAGCATCGGCCATTGCAAAAGTTGCCAGGATATCCACGCGATCGCTGCAGCAAGCAAATGACTGGCCCGCCACACCTAGTTCCTTTCTTTGTGTCTTTGTTTTTACGTTTGGTGGAGATCCTACCAGCAAGCGTGGCTTGCGAGCTGCCGAAGTACGGGAGTGAAGAGGGCACAGGTTTCTGCTTTTCTCAGGACGATACCGAACGAGGCTTGCGTGTTTAGCACCGGCTTCGCATGTATGGCCACACAAGCTCGGCTTTTGCCTGATACGAGAGTGGTTCACGAACATCACCCGAGTCATTTTCACGGTTCTCCCCCCTACTCGACAAGGATGGGGGAACCGGGCAAGAGACATTTCACAGAATCCCTTTCAATTTGTTGGATGTTTTTGTCTCCTGTAGATTTGGTAGACCGGTGCCAGACCTGCCAGACCTTGCATTTCGACTTGCGCGTCACTCTCGCTCTTCTCCTTGTGCGTTTTTGTCAAAGCACGGCGTTTAAAAAACACAATCGCCTTTTTGTTGGCAGGGTTCCGTCCCAGCAGGTGCCAGACATTGCATGGTGGCTTACGGGCCAAACTCGGGAGCTGTCCTCTTTGTGTTTGATTTTTTTGCCACAACACATATGACGGCGGGTGGACCACTGTAATTTAGAGGCGCCTCCTTTGGACACGTCAAAATGCCGTCTTTCGTATTTTGCAGGGTACGGTCCCAGATTCGGGCTCTTTGAGGTGGACTTCGGCACGCAAAGGCGCACGCTCCGAGATAGCTCCAAGTGAGTGGAGGCGTCTACCATAGGGGGTACCTTGTGGTGTTTATCGGGGTATTTCACTGCCCAAGGGCCTATCGTACGCGCAGAGCCAAGGCCCGCAGGCATGTGTTGGAAATCCCGCCTTGGATCTCTCCACGTTGCCACTACTCAGCTGTGTGTTTCGTGTTGTTTGTTTCTGTTCGCGGGGGCCCCGTATATGATTGTTAAAGCACTGAGTACCCGCCGCCGCCGCAGGGCCGGCCCCCGCCGGGTAGGCAAACGTTCGGGGAACGCTTTACCAGGTGTTGTTGGATCAACAGCTCGGACGACTATGTTCGTCACACCATGTTCAAAATCCCGGCATTGTGTGATTACAGCACCGCCACTATCACCCTCCGCCGTAATCAACCATTGCGTGAGTACAGCACCGCCATTTTCACCCTCCGGCGTAATCAACCATTGTGGCACCGCCATTATCAACTTTCGCGTATCAACCGTTGTGTAAGTACAGCACCGCCATTATTACCCTCCGCCGTCGTCGTTCGTGAACGACGACGACAATCTCTTCCCGGCGGCTTGTGTTCCACGACCAGGTACTACGTCGAAGTTGTCAAGAAACACTCCGGCAAGAAATCGTCCTCCGGGCTAGCTCCCGACACTACAGATGTCGGCGAGGGCAACGTCATCGGCACCCGTGCCGTCATCTACCACAAGCTGAAGTCCAGCGCCAACGTGTCGGAAGACGTCCTGCGGGGGGGCGGTGGCGGTGCGGAGCCGGGGGAAATCGGAGAGAGGGACGGGGTGGGAGAACCTCCCGCTTGCTATTCCGTAGTTTAGTAAATAGTGTACTATTTGAGAGGGTCCTTGTTTGAAGGCCGGTGAAAAATCGCTTGGTACGGATGGAATCGTGCACGGTGCCCGATATGAGGCCAGCCAATTTCCTTGGGCCGTAGTGGCCTTAACCACGGACCTCTTGTTCCGCGGGACCCGGTTTTCGTGCGTGTTGGGGGATGAGCACGAGCCGCTATTGGTTGAACCAGCAGCAGTGGTGGTGGGAACGAACTTGGAGCGTAGGCTCGAGTGGGCGTTTTTGTGGGATAGGCTCCGCACGGCATCACAGGTAAGGGGAACGGTGCCGAGCCTCATGTTCCCGACCGAGCTTTTGGTATGTCCGGTGGAGCGGGTTGTTGGTGCATGTTGTTGGGTTGGTGTGCGCTGCTGCTGCTGGCGCTGCTGCTGCTGCTGCTGCTGCTGCTGTTGATAGTGTCGGTGTTTTTAGGTGGGCTGTTTTTTTTTTTTTTTTTT